TTCCTGCTGGGAAAGATCATCCTTGTAGGAACTGAAATGCAGCAAGGCCTGCACTGGGAGCGTTGTGTGGTGTGTGCTGCGATGTCTCAGTTTTGCCCGTGGCAGCAGGCTGCAGGAGTTGTCTCCTCTGTTTTCCAGTACCCACGTGTGCTAGGTAAAGGTCGGAATGAGGCCAGAGCTTGGCAGCTAAAGAGTAGCACTTGCAGGGAGGCCCACCACACCAGAGGATGTGCTAAGTACATTGAAGGTGGTGTGGCTGTCGTCCTCACGCGGATGGAGGGCGTCCCTCGTGCTGGGGGTCCCGGGTGACCTGCACTGCCGTGCTCTTCCTGAGCCTCTTCGGTTGTTGACGGGGGTGTTCTTACAGAATTTACCATTAAGAGGATTTATGGCTTTAAACCACATACAGGTTGAAGTGTCTCACAGTAACATAGGAAGCCAGGCATAGAGGGAATTAAATTGATTCCCAAGTTACTGCTTTGACCACAGGCCTGTCCTTCCTTTGAACCACAGATGCACTTTTCATGTCACATAAGTAGCAAGTGCACCAAGCTCAGTGTTCCTGGTGGAGTTTCCTTGGTGCTTCTGACATCCCCATTCACATGAAGAGTGAAAATAGCTGCCACACCTGTATCTCTTCTTTAAACTTTCCCAGGGGCACCTGCTGGGGGAATTTTGCACTGTCCCAAGGGTGGTGACTTTGACAGATGGGTAGAGAAGTTACTGTTGTTTTGACTGCTCTGTCCTTGGTGTGTGTTTTCTGTTGTGGGTTTTTTTTGTTTGATTTTTTTTTTTAAGCTCCAGATGGAGATTCATCCTCTTTTATATTAGGTAATGTAATTATTCACATAATTCTTACATGAATAAATTTGGGGTAGGTCTCTCAGCACACATTTGGTAGTGATGTTTTCTTTCTTCCAAGTGCTTGTCTTACAGACATGGGAACAGACTCTTTTTGATGAATCATTGCATAGGGCTTTTTTTACTTAATGAGTATACAATTTATATTATTATTTAACTATTCTGCTTCCCACAACCAGTGCAAACTAGTATCCTAATATGCAGCTTCCACAAAGAAAGTGAAAAACAAACCTTCAGGCTCACTCATTTAGAAATGAGTTTTTACTGGTGTTCCTGTGCTTGTAGGATTTTTTGTTGTAGCTGTTGAATATACTTCAGTACTTAACATTTTTCCTTGCAATATAGTCATCATATTTACAGTCTCATTTCAGTTACTTGTGAAACTCATTTTGAGCAGTGAATCATATATTGTCCAGTACTTTAACTGAAAATATTCAGACTCTTCCCACTGAGAAAATAATTGGCTCAATACATGTTGTTTGATTGATACATTTCAGGCTTTCACTAAGAAATTAGACTGACTACACTGGAGTTAAGAAAATAATAAGTTAATAGGCATTTAATTCTTCCATTTTTCCTTGTTACCTATTAGAATACTTCCTTAGAATAAATTGGAGTACCTTAGGCATCCAGAGCTGTTTGCAGTGGACCCATACTCCTGTGCCGATACGAGCGGTAAAGCGGCAGCCCCACAGGAGTTAGAAACAAAGACAGAATTCAGCAGCTCTTTGGGAGTCACAACTGAAGACATTTATTGCTATCAGAAAGCTGTTTGTATAGTGTGCCAAGCTGTCCATGCACCCCGCTCCCCAAGCTAATTGGTTACAAACTACTGTCCATGCACTTAAGCTCTTCTTGCAATTTGTTCTCCAGCTGCCAGTCATGCTCTTTGTTGTTTTTCTCTTGCTTCCTCCTTATCACAGTTCTCTGCATTCCTTTTCCTTCCTATCTCTCACTCTGTTGTCTTCTTCTTCTGTATTTAGAGTTCCTGGGGTTCACAGCTGCACTTCAAGGCCGCTGCCCACAGCCTAGCAGAAATGTTCCCACACTACTGATGCTGGTTCAGTTTTTAGATAATGCTAAAATGGAAATAAAAAAAAACTTCTACTGAAGTATATTGCTTTTTTCTGTAAAAACTAATGTATTTTTCAGTGTTTTTTCTTCTTCTGAGAGCACAGTCATAGGTTCCAATGTATTTTAGCTTTCCAGCGAATAAACAGTTGTGCATTCTGGAAATCCTCACTGGCAAAAACCTCCTGAATTAGAGTACTTCTTAAGCCAGCTGCTTGCTGGTAATCAACATGTCACTTCAACGGTCTGTGTAAATCCTGTTCTCTAATTAGAATTACAGGGCTGTTGAGGGCTCATGTGGCCCTTCCTCTTCATCCCCTTAAATCCTGGGCCAGGTCCTGGCCTGAATTTGCATCTGTCTGCAACAATTCCATTGATTTAAAGTCTGTGGGATGCTGAGATGGAAATCGGGACTGCTGTGCTTGAAGGTGTGGAAATTTCAGTGGAGCAGAGAAAAATATTTTAATTTCTTCAGCTAATCATGTAAAGAGGGCAGCTCATCCAGGTTGGAAGTAGTTGGAATTTACTTTTCTTAAATGTAGTAAGTAGTAACAATCAAATTGAAAGTAGGCGCCCTGACCCATTGATACAAACTGCAGCTGAAAAGATGGGCTTTCATGGCAGGAAGCCTTGCCACGAGGACGTGGAAGCTTTCTGCTGCTATTGAAGTAAGTAGCATGTGCTTGTAGAAGGAAAGAGGAGCTGACTTGAAAATACACCATGTGGGAAGCGTCCAGTTCTTCCTGCAGCCTGCAGATCCTGTCCATTGTTGCAGTGTAAAATGGTGTCTCTGGGGGGACACCATATGGGGCATGACATGTGAAGGTTTAGGAGGTGCCAGTTCCAGCAGATGTGGTGGTCTGCTGTGGGCCTGTGGCCTGCCTGCTAGCCTCATTCTAATGTTGTCTTGGGTGAGATGTCTTTGCCATTGAACTCCCTCAGAACTTGAGGTGCCGCTCTCTGCCTCCTCACTGAGCAAGTAATTTACAGCTGTTCCCCCTGAGAAACCCTGCAAGAGGTGACATCTAGCACAGGCCTTTACAGCCTTTGTATAAAAGCTGTCTCTGGGAATAAAGATTTGGTGTTCAGGAGGCTGGCTTTTGGATGTGGTTCCAGGTTCCTGTTTCTATTTGTACAGAAGGTAGGAGCAAATGGGTAGAAATAGATTTTAAAGTTCTAACCTATCTTTGCCCTTTCTTTTTCTTCTGCCACATTTTGAAGGATGCACGCCAGAAGTTCCGCTCCGTGCTGGTTGAAGCAACGGTAAAACTGGATGAACTGGTAAAGAAGATTGGAAAAGCTGTAGAAGACTCTAAACCTTACTGGGAAGCTCGGAGGGTGGCCAGGCAGGTGAGCACTTTCTGCCTTATAAGCTTGTGCCGGTTGGGGAGCACATACTGATGGCGTTGCTGTTGGGTTGTTAATAACATCTTAAGTGTATGCACTTGGCCGACACTGGCCTACATCTTGAGTTGCATGTCAGCCATGTGAATTGATGGCAAAAATGTATTTCTTCACAGCCAGAGCTGCAGGAGTTCTTTGGTCTAGGAACAGCTACAGCAGACAAAAACTATCAATAGCAAAAGCCTAGTCCTGTTCTTGCATCATCAACGTCTTTTCAGAGCCCTGCTCTTTACTGTCAGTAGTTGTAATTGTTTGAAAATACAGTGAAGACTTTGTGCATCTGCTTTTCTTTTCTTAAAGCTCAGCAGCTGAGTGACTGTAACTGGAAGCTGCTGGGCAAGAGGCTGGAGTGGGGCAGGCCTAGGGAAGACTGCAGGGTTTGGGACCAATTAGGTTGTGTTTCAGGAATGTGCTAAATGTGTCTCCAAAGCATATTGATTTTGGGAGAAACTGAGTTCTGCTTTCTGTACTGTTATTAGGAACTTACCTCTGCCCCAACTACTACTTGATTTCTGATAGGCACCTAAAATAGGGTTGGTTCTTTTTTGTTGGAAGGGGCCTGCATGGCTGAGGAAGGGAGGGATGAGGAATGGAAATAAGGTCTGATCTGCTGGCTGCTGGGGAAGTGAGAAAGCTTGCAAGATGTTGGGCAGCTTCTCACCTTAGTGGTGAGAAGCATCTGACAGTTGAGTGTGTGGTGACCTAGGCAGTGCTTCTGCACGGTGTCTGTCTGGGGTTCTGCTGGGGTCTGAGGCCTTTTGTTTTTCCCCAAGGAGGAGGCTGTTCTTTGGTGCTACTTCAGTTTCCTCTCGAAGTGGGAAAGAGAAGGAAGGGAAGAGGAGGGATTGCATCCTCGGAACAAGGCAGAGAAAAGGGAGGCAGGAACACAAGCTTTGTTGCTGCGAGAGCTGGTGACGCAGGGGCTGTGCTGATGTGACTGTGCTGATCCTTCACACTGCATGGGGTTTTTTGGAGATGCTGTTTCAGGCAGTGGAGGTGATGTGTGGGGGCTATTGGGCTCAATCCCTCCAACTAGCAGCAGTGTGGAAAGTAGGTAAGCTGCTCCAAAACACAGTGAGCCCGGTGTCTACTACTCATCTGTAACTGCTCTGGAAGCACTTGCTGCTTATGCGGCCTGTGGTGAGTGCTAGAGGTAAACCAGCAGTGAGCTAGAGGAAGGGAGCAAATTTGCTGTATTAAAGTCAGGCAGTTCGGGGTGAGTGGGTGGGGAAATGTGAAACTGAAGGAATGCACCAGAATATTAATATGTTTTGGTACCAGTCTGCATCTTTCTTTTCACTTTGATTTATAAATTTATAGAGAAAACGTGGGACCATCTTGAGATTTTTCCATTAAAATTTATAATGACATCTAGCCTATGAAGATGTCTTCTTCCTTCTGTCTTCACAGTTATTTTAGAGCTGTTGGGCTGCCTCTGAAAGCACAAGCACAAGGTTCTTGGTGTATGAAACAGCTTTAATTAACAAGGGAAAAATGCATGACTGTATATGATATGAGAGAGGGAAGAAGTTTGTTGTTCTCAGTAAAGGGAAGTAAAAAATGTGACCTATAAATTGAAGTCTTCTGGGAACAAAGAACTGCATAATTAATGACGTCTGGTTTGGCAGAAGTGCAGGAGCTGTGCAGAGTTGCTTGCACTGAGGACATCAGTCATAGGGTGAGTTGCCTGATGCAAGCTGTGTTTAGTGGTATCGAGGAGCTTGCTCTCACTTGGCACCAGCATGATTCTGTGCTGGAAATGCTTGTTTCATCTGTTAAGATGAAACCCATTAAAAAGGTATGAAGGCACTGATGTGGGATCAGCAAAATAACGGCCCTCAACTCAAATACTTCCCTGGAGAAGCTTTAGGACCCTGAGCCCTTTTGTTTGCTCACCTTTATCCCCATCTTGTGCAATCCTGTGTTGGCAGAAGACAGTGAATTCAAAACAAATGAACTCTCCCATGCAAAGGTCTTGTTGCATCTTGTTTGTGCAATGTGTGCCAAGAGAGCTTCAGCCTGGCCTGTCTCAGGGTGAAGCTTTCCTTGAACAGAAGAATGGCCCCTTGGTGTCAGGATTTGAGTGCTTTGCCCTCTGAAGTGGTGGCACAGGGAGCTGGGTTGCTCTCTGTGGTGCCAAAGCAGTAATGTTTGGCCTTTGCTGAGGCTGACCTGAGAGCTGGCTGATACTCTTGCCCCTGTCTGCCAAGACAACTTTGTTGTGATTCCTCCTGAACATTTTTCTTCCAGAGTGAGGAATTATGTTTTAGTCCCCAGTACTGGCTCAGTTTTGGAGTAGTGTGGATACTTGCTCAGCTTTAATACAGTGCTTGTTTGGGAGGGACATGGTTTTGCTTTGTGATATTTCCTCCCCCCCCCACCTCGTTTAGCTTTTACAAAAGAATGTCAGAAAACTTGCTTCAGGCAAAAACAGATGAAAAATCTATGTTAGGTCATGCCTAAATGCATCTGTCACTTGGGGACTCATCTATAGCAAGTGTTCAGAGAGCAGTCTGTGGAAGGATGTGCATGTTCTGCTTCCTCTTGGGTCACTCTTCCTGATTCAGTTTTACATCATTTAATTCTTCCTGTCATGTTGGTGGCATGTTTTCTTAAGCAGCACCCTTTTATCTCAAAGATTGGAAAACCATGCTGGAACCTGTTCTTCCCTGCTGAAGTCCAGGCATCCCTGAGAGGAACCATAGCTGCTAGACAAGCAGGGAGTGGTCAGCAGGGACAGCCGACCTGAACCTTCGAGGTGTCGGCAGGGACAGCCGACCTGACCCTTCCCTGCAGCTTTTTATACAGCTCCTTCCTCTCGCCTCACTAACAGTCTTCCTCTCATGTGGCAATCCAGCATAAAAATATTACATCTGCTTGAAGAAATCAGATGAGAAGGTAAAGAATTTAGGGGTGAGCTTTCAGATATTCAGACCCTGGGCCTCCATTCTGCTTGTCTTCACAAAATTTTGGGCCCTTAATTACTGACTGTAGCCAATGGTGAGAGGTGGTTGCATTTGAAAACCCTTCTGAGGTACCTATGTCTTCCTTAAGCACAGAGGGAGCCAGGACATCTCGACTTGGCTCGTTTATTGTTTGAAAGTTGCCAGGCGAATCCTGCCTGGAGTGGCTCAATGAACCTCATGTCCAGAGTGAGCTGGGGTGAAAAACAGCTGCTGTGGTCTTGCAGAACAGGAACTGGGGAGGAACTGAGCCGCTTGGTGGCGGAGGTGGGAGGGGTGTGAGCAGCTAAAGGCACACTTACCTAGTTGGAATACTGCTCCTCAGCAGAGGAGACTGGTACAGTTCTTCGCAGAATTCAGGGCTGCAGTCCCTATAAATGAACAAAACTTTCCAAAATGGCCATTTCATCTCAATTTCTAGGTGTTCAGCTTGAGATGTGTGAAAGTAGCATGGTAAGTTACAGGTGGTAGCTTTCTTAGCCTGGGAGACAAAAAGCTTTTTAAATACACACAACTTGGAGGTTTAAAACTGCCAGTCACCCTTAAAAGTTAATTAGGAACTGGAAATGGTGGTCTTGCCAGTGTCACTTCCTGCAGCACCTAAGTCTCCTGTCCAAATTTACTGAGGGAGTGAGAGCTGACTGGATCACAGCACCAGCTGGCTGTGCTGTGGACAGGAGGACAGCATTGTGTGGGGTGATAGCTCCTGTGTCCAGAGCCAGCAGCAGTGGCTACCCAGGTCTTCCCCCCTGGTTCCTAGGCACTAGATGCCTTATCCATAGGTATATTGGAGGTAGCCGTGTCGTAAGGAATCTCCTTTTCAATCCTACTTCTATGGGCTGAAGTCCTCACGCCCATGTTTAAGACAACAAGGAGTTAAGACTGATTTGTATTATCTGGTAAGCTTATCTTGGCAAAAAATGTTGAGGGAGAGGGAACTTGAGAAGCAAAAATTAAATGTCAGCAGAACTGCAACAGACTTGCAGTCCTGTTTGGCAGCTTGCCATAGAGCTAGTAAAAAGCAAAATTATTGGCACAGTTACAATGGAACAACCAACTGACCTTGTCTGGCTGAAGGAGTGTTTCTGGTTAACTGTTTAGAAACAAAAAAACTATTTGATGGATTCATATTTTCAAAGCAAGGGTACAGAGTCTTGAAAATAGACTTCGACAAACCTTCTACAAATCCTTCCAACCACTTAAGAAGAAACCCAAACACCCAGAACACTTGAGGGCTTTCCATGGCTACATTTCAGTGCTGTGTTTTGGCTGGTAGGCAGCAATCATCTGTGCAGCAGTGCTGCTAATGGACTGTTGATTCCAGTCCCTCCAACAGTTTGTTCATCTTGACGATGGAAGATGCAGTTCAAAACAACATGTGCAAAGGTGTTCCTTTTATCAGATGAGAATAACTCCTGTCAAGACGGGGCCAGTAACTGCCACTGACTGCTAAGAGTATTTACACCCACGTTGTGGTGGTGAGCCGGCAGAAGTTGTTTCATATGGGTGTTGCTCCTCTGGCCATTGCCATCATCAGTCTAGGCTGACAGTATAGGTTGTATTTGTGGTCTGCCTGGGCTGGTAGTTTGCCTTTTTAATTGAAGGTGCTGCATTGAAGCTGCCCTGGTGGCTTCTGGGAGTCTCACAGTAGTGTGGGGCAGGGAAGGTAAGGATTTCTGGTTTGGGAAGGTGGGGTGAAGGGTGTGAGAAGCAGCTGGCTCCAGAGGTGTGTATATCAACCCTACCAAAATGCCTGTTTTGGCTGGTGTTGGATTACTTAGGCTGGTGGAATTGGAGAGGCCACTTGGAGGCAGGGGAGCAGCTCCCTTCCTGAACTGGGACTTACCTGTTGGTTGAGAACTTGGCTGTGGGTGGGGGCCAGTGTGACAGCCTCAGTTAGTGCTGCGGCAGGCCAGGCATGGGAGGGAGGCAGGCAGGCAGGCAGCACAAGCCTCACACGGGAGGAGGTGGCTGGGGACCTCC